ACCATTTGGTATTTAAGCTTGTGTATTTGGTTTATTTCATTCAACATTATATTTTCCAGGTGCATCCATTTTCCTACAAATATCTCAAATCTGTCATTTTTTATAGCAGAACAGTGTTCCATTATATAGAGATACCACATTTTCTTTATCCAATTGTCTGTTGATGGGTATATAACCTATTTCCAGGATTTAGCTATTATGGGTTGTGCTGCATAAACATTAGTATACATGTATCACTGTAGTATGAGACCTTAAATTCTTTTGAGGGAGATATCTATCAGGGGAATCACTGGGTCCTATGGAATTTCTAATTTCAGTTCTTTGAGAAATCTCCATACTGATTTCTGTAATGGTTGTACTGGTTTACATTCTCACCAACAATGCAGGAGGGTTCCTTTTTCACCACAGCCTCACCAGCATTTGTTATTGATTGATTTCTTGATGATTGCCATTAGCATTGCTTTAATTTGTATTTCTCTAATGGCAGAGATGTTGAGCATTTTTTCATATATTTGTTGACCATTTGTGCTTCTTCCTCTGTGAAGTGTCTGTTCATTTTTCTTGCCCATTTTTCAACTGGACCTTTAACTTTAGGTGGATTAATTTTTTTGAGTTCTTTGTATATTCTAGATATTAGTTCTCTGTCTGAGGAGTAGCTGGAAATTTTTTTTTTTTGTCCTTATGTAGGCTGTCTCTTCACTTTATTTTTACATGATTCTTTTGCTATGAGAAGCTTTTCAGTCTGATATTATCCCATTTCTTAATTCTTACTGTTATTTTTTTGTGCAATTGAGGCTCTGTTTAGAAAATCTTTCCTACATCTATGTCTTCAAGTGTTTACTTGTTTTAACTTCTAATAAGTTTAATGGTTCTGTTTTAATATTTAGGTCTTTGATCCATTTTGATTTTAATTTAGTACATGCTGAGAGATAAGGGTCCAGTTTCAATCTTCTGAACATAGATAACCAGTTTTCCCAGCACAACTTGTTGAATAGGCTTTCTTCCAACATATGCTTTTGGCCCCTCTGTCAAAGATCAAATTATCTCAGTGTGTCAGGAGAAGTTTCTGTATCTTCAGTTCTGTTCCACTGACCCATGTGTCTGTTTTTGTTCCAGAACCTGCTGTTTTTAAAATCAATATTGCTTTACAGTATAGCTTGAAGTCAGGTATTGCTATGCCTCCTGCTTTGCTCTTGTTGCCCCAAATTGCTTTTGGTATTCTGAGTCTCTGCTCATTCCGAATGAATTTTAGGATTATTTCATTAAGATCTGTAAAGGATGTTGTTGATATTTTGATTGGGACTGTGTGGAATCTGTATAATAGTTTGGGGAGTATGGCCATTTTGACAATATTGAGTCTGCCTATCCAGGAGCAGGAGACATCTCTCCATTTTCTGATGTCCTCTTCCATCCCTTTTACAGGGTACTGTAGTTTTATCTGTAGAGATCTTTCACTTTCTTAGTTAAGTTAATTCCTAGGTATTTCATTTTTCTTAAAGCAGCTGTGAGTGGTATTTTTTTCATAATTTCCTTCTCATCCTGTTCATTATCAGTGTACACAAATGCTAATGATTTATGTGTGTTGATCCTATATCCTGCTACTTTGCTGAAGTTAGTTATTAATTCTAAGAGATTTTGGGGGGAGTACTTTGGGTCTTCTATAAAAAGCATCATGTTCTCTGCAAATAATGATAATCTCAGTTCTTTTTCTGTATGTATACATTTTCTTTCTTTTGCCTAGCTGCTCTTGTTAATGTTTCAAGTACTATGTTAAGTAGAAGAGGTGCTAGTGGGCATTCTTGTCTTGTTCCTGATTTTCGAGGGAATTCTTTT